TATATAAATGAAAAATAATTAAGCAATGACCCTGGGTGGCTTTTTTGCATTTTCATCTCGGGTGGCTTTTTCCCGCTTTTGTCAATTCTGGGGGTCTTTTTTCCGGGTGGCATATTTCCGGGTGGCTTTTTTCCGAACCCCGAGGCCATTAATGTTCGAAAACGTGCGCGGCGTGTTGCAATGTGAGTAGCGTGAGGCCGCCAATAAAAGCCCACATACCACATTTTCCTACGAGGCGACAATTTAAGGTAACGCCTTCATCTTTGATTCCTTCGTCTTCGCTTGGCGCCGTTTCCCCGTCCTTCGCAATGACGATTAACGAAGTGCAGGGGCAGACCGAGAAATTAGGGTTGCTTTTGCCGCGTCCTGTCTTCTCACATGGCCAGCCAGTGGGCAGGAGGGGGGGGGGGGGTGAATGTGGCGACTGCCTCCCATGGCCATGTCTGCATTCATATTAGCTTTTATATATTGATACTTCCGTGCTTTTGCACGGGTTACCTACTAGTTAGTAAAATAAAGGAAAGTGCAACACACAGCACAGCGACGATCCGCAAATAACCGTATTCTTGTTTTTTTTTTTGCAAGATCCCGGCCCCCAAATCGTACACAAGTACTTTTTTATCATCTACCAATGCGACTGCGATACGGGAGAAACAAACGAGGCCCAAAGCCAAGGAAACAAACGAGGAAATTAGGGTGATGGATTTCTTTACGAAAGCCCCTGTGAACGCATGTGGTGACGAGCTGAGGAATCACCCCATATTTCCTCATGGACCCCCTCGAAATCCCTGGATTCACGTCAGTAGGCGGGAGGCACTGAAGTGAGCGAAGCCAGCATTCCCTTTTGAGAACTATGGCAACTTTCGTTTCCAATTTAATCCGAAAGATGGCGAGACTAGAGGTAATCGCCGATTTCCGATGAAAATGGTCTCCCCTCCCTTTCTTATGGCCGATGTGCAAATTTCATTTCTAAAAGGCACATCCTCGGATGGTAAGGAAGAGTACTATTGAAACCCCACGTTCATATATGTAACCGTTTGGCCTGGAGAGCTGTCACACAGACACACACACACACACACACACACACACAAAAATAGAATCAATTGTCGCTCGGCCTAGCTAGCGGCGCACGCTATATGTTTAACCTCCGGTTTGAATAAAAGCAGGTGGCATAATTATTATGCAGAGCTCCGTAGTTTGGACTGAACGCGTTAGTTTTCTCCTTTTCCTGAAAAACATTGGGGCGATTTCGTGAAGAAGAAAGGGTGGAAGATAAGGGGGAAGAAGAAGAATGAACCAGCGGATATCCTCACCAGGGTTGAGAAGAGGTAATCCTGCCAAGAGCCTGTCCATCTGCCACAGGATGGGAACCGTGTGAAGTGAATACATCACAGGCACCTTCGCTCCGAAAGAGACTCTCTCCAGCGAGGGAGGGAGTTCGCGTCCTCCGTACACTGGGGGTAGATCCTTCTTTTCTATCCAAGGTCCAGGATCTGGAAGGAGGATCACAGACGCAATTGAATGAGTGATCACTCTACACAATTTTCAGAAATATCCAATTCCTCGTCGTAAATGATCCCAATTAGGTTCCGATATTCCCTTAATTACTGAAAATTATGAGATGCAGGACTCGCTCATCCTCCCCTCACACATTTTCTTTGAGATGAGAGAATGGCGAGAATGGCCCGCGATCTTTTCCGAAAGAGATTAAAAAGAGGTACTGAATAATCTCGTTAGTGAATAATACCTTAGCTTCTCTATGATACCACGTACACATGTATTAATGACGGCAGGTCGTGAAATGATAATGAAATTCCATTTATCTGCCGTACTTCGTGTGAGAAGAAGCCACTTTTTGATTATGAAGGAAATCATTGAATCTCCGATTGAAACGTACAGTTAAGAATTTTCCGGTTTACATGTTCTTAGTCGTAAAAATCTCAGACAAAGGAAACGTAAACCTGGATTTCTCATAATGCTGGGAAAGCATTTCCTGCTTGTCTCCGGAAATCTTACTTTGTCTTCTTTGCGGAATTTTTCCCTTTTTCGTCACGAAATATTACGGCTGAGAAACATAAATCTGAATTATGACGTTTAAGCGAATGATCCTTTTTCTCATTCGGGTCGAAAGAGCACGTTTGGAATGTTCTCCAAAATATCCTTCATGATCCTTTAGACCTTTCCGTAACGACACCTTAGCGGTACCACCCGAAATCTTTAGTTTGCAGTCCGAATGGTAGATGACTGCCAGGTAACCCCCAGATGTCCCCTTCATTATGGTTTGGTGATGCATTGCAAAACCAAAGGTTTTCACTCTCAAGAAAAGAAATAACTTCATGTACAGTACATTTTCCTGTCAGATATAAAGGAAATGAAGAGCATGGCTGCTGGAAGGTAATGATGACTCATGATGCGACTAAAGAGATCTTTGTTTTCTCCGATTTACAGCCGGTTTACCTGGTTCTAGTATTACCTGTATACAGTACTAGCGAGTTTATTTGCCCTTCGGGCAAACAAACTCGCTATGGTTGCGCCTTCGGCGCTCCATTACCTTGGAGAGTCATTAATTCATTTATTCCTTGCGAAATGGCAAACACGTATTTAAAGTACGTTCCCATTGAAATACGTGATATATGGGGACAAAAGCCTTGATTTTTATCGGAAGCATTACTCCTATGACTTCTCATGTGTCTAACTTGAAGTCGTTTCATGTGTCCCTTTTTGTAAGGGTGAAGAATATATTTTGAATTACTTCCCTCCTGTAACCTATGATAAGGAGACGTATTTCAAAAGTCACATTCATGAAAAGTTCCAGTTTTCCATGTTCATCAGTTTAACTGATGCAAAAAAATTATTTGAAAGGATCTCCCTGTGAAATTAGTGCCGCAGGGGCGTTTACTTCCAAAGTCTGACTTTTTCTGCACGCAGCATCCCAAGTTATTTACCAAGTTTCATCTTTCCACACCAGCTCAATATGACAGGGTAAAGAAATGACTTGAAAACGTTGGCCCCAAAAAATATGCACCCACATGGCATGAATCTAAAACTTTACATTTTTCCTGAACTCATCGTCTTGGTAGGCATGTGCATGCCAAGTTTCAGCTTTCCATCATGTTTCTCCGTTCTACTAAAGCAAACATAGGATATAAAGGAAAAATAGGAAATTGTTAGGAAGGGGGTAATGCGAATCAAAAGGCATGAGGCCGAAAGAAAACTACGGTACTTCCAGGATTTGAACCCGAGCCTCCCGATTGCTTGTCAGGTGTGTTACAACTACGCCATCGAACCCCGAAACATCCAGATGAGCCTCTCGATGTCATCCTAATCCTTCATAATATATATCTTTAAAAACTTCTCCCCCAAAATGTGTGCCCCCAGGGCATGTACCTACAAATTTAAGTTTCAGTTTCTTCAGTTTCTGAACTCTGCATCCCAAAAGGTACTTGTATACCAAGTTTCAGATTTCTAACTCGTCTAGAACATGGTTAGAATTAGCGTCAGCCAGTCAGTAAGTCAGTCACGATCGTCTATATATATTAGATGGAAGAGAACTCCTCTAAACATCTATTTCTCCTTCCAAGGTCCTGGTTCAGGAGGCGGAACTAGTGAGTCATCTTGGCACTCTTGAGTGCTGGTGATGACAAATACTTGTGTACTCATGTACTGGTCCAAGGAACCTTGAGATCCAAAGTTTGGAAACGAATGGGAGAAATACAGTGAATCAATTCTCTCAAAAGTACAAATTAGCTCATTAAATACGCGGAATGTAAGGCGGAAATCTACATCAATTTTACGTAAAATGAATGTAAATATGATGTTGGGGATGTAAACGGGAATGTCAATTTTAAGTAAAATTTGCGTACATTTTACATCACCGTTTACGTATTCCAGAGGTGACATTTCTGCTTGTAAAGCCATTGCTTATAAAGCCTCTTCACCGTGTTCCAACTTTTTTTCCATCCACAGCCTTTACGACGACGACGACGACGACCAACTCGTGTGAGGGAGCCATTGGAGATCCTTGCCAGGAACATGAGGACTGCCGTGCAAACGAACACCTTTTCTGCAATCCTTCCCTTCTCAAGTGTGACTGTGCCGACGGATACATTTTTGACACAGACATCCTCATGTGCGGTACGGATTCCATGCCCTGTCCTAAATTTGAAAAAAATGGTGGTCTTAGAACTTTAAAATCTACTATAGTCGCGGAAAATTTGGTACTTTGTAAAGTTAGTGACGTATATGCATAACTGCCATTCTGACATGATCGATTCACAGTGACTGGAGGGAAAAGATTGGGCGAATCGTGTTCTGACGATAGCGATTGCAGCCTCCACAGTCAGTGCGACAAGGAAACAAAAATGTGCACATGTGCAAAGGACTATCGGCTGAATCCTAAGACCATCCTTTGTGGTAAGTGCAAACATACTCTACATTATATATTGGAATGTCTTTGATTAAAAGCACCACATGGATTAGAGGAGAAAATGCCTGGTGGAATGGGGATTGACTGCAAGAAAGACGAGGAATGCAACGTAGATGAAAATCTGAAGTGTGATGATAAAATCCAGAAATGCAATTGCATGGACGAGTTTTTCCTCCATCCTGAAATGCTGGTATGTGTTCGATGAGCTTTTCCATTTATTTCCGTTTGTATGATATTTCACGAGTATGACGAATAAATTCTCGCTCGAAAATCCGTCTTGATGACAACGTTCTTTTTTTTTTATAAAAAAAAAATGTATGTCTAAGGATCATTTCTATATCTTCCTGCGAAATGTTAGCATGAGCTATGGTGGCTGCTGGATTGCGTCGAATAAATGCTTACAAGCGAGAAGTTTCTGAATTTTATTACAAATGTACATGCTTTCCTAAAATGCTGAAAACTATCGAAATCTCGCCGAAGTTGACTGGTAGTCACTACATGAATCCTTCCCCACGACTCGCACGACAAGATTTTGGATATTTTCCATTGAAGAAGGCGAGTTCCCATGGAGTTTCATGAAAACGTGAACTTTATTCTCTCTGTTCCAAATGCCAGAATTACCCTGAGTCTCATTGGGTTGGGTTGCCTCTTACGTCGAAAGTATCCATTAATACAAAAATGTTTCCTTGTATCGTCTGTAGATAAAAAAATCAAGTACCGTTCCAAAAGTACCTGGGACCCATGCTGCTTGCATCTTTGAGGTAACTCAATGTGCTGGTAATTTTTCGCCAAACCTTCTTCGTTGAAACACCTCGGCAAATATCTCACCCCCCAAAAAATTAAAGCAATCCTGACGAGACAATGTCTTCGAAATGTTCATATTTTAAAAGTAGCGTCACAGCTGGCAATGAATTTCATAATCAGCATCAACATCGTCAACAACATCTCAACGATGAGTCAGTTTCGTCATGCAGACTAGGAAAGGACGAATGCCATGAAGAAAGCGAAACCCTGCACAGAAAATGCAAATCCAACGCGATGCTTCGTGAATAGGAAAGCCAAAAATGTATTATGTATCACGCACATGCAATTTGGAGAGCACAGGTTTCCATGGGAATGGACTCCAAGGGAGTCTCGATGTGTAAACATCGCTGAGCTTCTATGATATTACGTCCTCGTTCCGTTATGTTAGAAAGCCTACTTTTCTCCTCGAGTCTGAAGATTTATGTTTTGAATTTTCGAGAAATTCCAAAATTAATGATAGCAAATGATGCACATAGTAAAAAAAATTAATGCAAAAATTGAAGAAAATTGCTCCAAATCATCGATGTTCCTTCCACGCAGACTATCTCTGAGTTGGAGCTGTTATGACGTTGGACGATGCGCGAACTTGTGAAATCTGAAAGCACATTTAATTCAAACCGGAAGACATCAGTTGCGAAGCAACCGAGGTCTGCAGGTTAAACACAGCGTTCATGATCCTAGCTGCTAGCTAGGCCGAGCAACATCTGTGTGTCAGTGTATATGTGATAGCTCTATAGGCCAAACGCCTCGAGGTGGGAAAGCGGGATTTCGAGAGATCTCTTCCTTATCACCCAAGGATGTGCCTTTTCGAAATTAAATTTGCAAATTGGCCCCACGAAAGGGAGGGGAGGCAATTTTCACGGATGATCGTAGTTTCACTCTCGTCTCGCCGTCTCTCCGATGAACAAGGAGACGAGAGTTGCCTGCTTATTCGCGAGGGAGCGGTGGCATCGCTCAATGCAATGCCTAGCGCCTGCTGCTGGGAATACAGGGATTTTAACCGTCCATGATGAAATACGAAGCGCGAGAGTTCATTAGAGGTTGTATTACTTTCCCGTATCGCAGTCGCATTGGTAGATGGCAACGAAATTTAAAGTATAACCTATGGGAGCGGGAGGCTAATATCGAAATAATACAGCGGTATAGAACCGCACACGTCTGATTGGTCAGGTATGGATGACGTCACATTCGAGTGGAGCTATGAAAAAGAACTGCAGATAGCGCACCCGTAGGAACGGTATAGGCCTGCGTGCTGTAATTGGAACACTTTGGCCCGTATGCTGAAACCTCTTTTAGTTAACGGTCCTTTAAGAATTCGTGGAATCCTATGGGAATCCTTGTACTCTTACAAGGACTGTTAACTAAAGGATGTTTCAGCATTCGGGCCTTATTTGTTCTGTTAAGGCGGCTCGTCACCATTCACTTCTATGGGATTTTCCCGATTTTTCAACCCAAATTTTTTCTAAATACATACACGCAGCAAACAACCCTGACACAGCAAGCGCAAGAGGTCCTCAGAGGAAAAAATTGGCCTTATTGAGTCGTTCCAAGGCTTCCTTCTAGCATGCATGTGGATCCAATACATCAGTTTAGGCTAATGGCAGTAAAGGGCGATTGGGGATAGGTCTCAGCAGAATGTCGGCGATTCATGTGCGAAGTGATTCATATAGTTGAAAGCGGGCCTAAGGTAGGAACGGTATAGGCCTGCGTGCTGTAATTGGAACACTTTGGCCCGTATGCTGAAACCTCTTTTAGTTAACGGTCCTTTAAGAATTCGTGGAATCCTATGGGAATCCTTGTACTCTTACAAGGAC